AGTCTTCCTCTCCTGAGGCCCTTTGGTTGGTAAAAGCTTCCCTGCCACCTCACCACTTTTTTACCAATGTGGCTTTCCCCTCTATCTCTGCTGCTTTCCTTGTGCTCTCCCACTGCAACGTGCAACTGGTGACCAACACTGCCATGCCAGAGCTGAGGCCCCACATCACTTCCCTGTACTAGCAATGGCTGCCTCCAATCCCTCCTCACAGAGGGGGCAGCCATGAGGAGAAGCCCTGGCACCCCAGCCTGCTGGAGATGGAGGATTTGGGACCGATCCGTCCCGGGCCTAAAACCGGAACCCATGGGCTAACAAGGGCCCCAGGTATTTTCATTTGTACATTAATCCTCCAGGTCCTCTGAATCACACAGGTGCTCCTGTACTTGTCATTTCCTTTGCCTGGAATGTTCTTCCCATCTCTTAACTGCCAAATGGTCCCCTAAGGAGCCATTCCTGACTCCACTCCCCCAAGGTAGGGCTGGGATCCCTTCTCGTGAGTTCCTTCGTTGGCCCCTCCTCATACCCCACCATCATCTAACGTGTGGGCCACTAGAGAGTTGCTCCAGAGAAGGGGCCCCGTTTCATGAATTCCTCCTTCCCCTTCAGAGATCAACATACAGAAATTGTTCAGTCATAAATGAGCTGGCTGAGAAGTTTAAGTCAATGTCACAATTAGGAATTTTAACAACTATGTGAGGAATTGAATCTTCTGGGTATCTTGGGTTTCCCAGGGTCTTACCCAGGTTAGGGACTGTGAAGGAACTAGTGATGTACGTTAGTACACCCTGACTGGCTCTGCCAGGACAGCCAGCTCCCCCGTGCCCTACTCACCCCAGGTCGGTGCAGTGGAAGGGGGTGACCACATAGGCCCCAGTCTCGGCTGAGGAGGAGATGCGGCCGGCCTCCCGGGCCTCCCGGGCAGGGTCCACCATAGTCCGGGGCATCATATACAGCTCCTTGGAGTGGTCAAAGCACCCCCTGACTTTCACTGGCCTATACTCCAGATTTTTCAGTTCCACTGGGCTGCATGGAGACAAGAACAGTGCCCGAGCAATGTTTGGCCGGAAAACGAATCCCCTAATGTGGGTGACAGACTACACAGCCCACCAAGGCCAGACAAGGAAAGGAGAAAGGTAAAGGGCATCCTCGCCAAAGGGAAACGCCCTTTGATGCCATGTGGGAATGTGGATCTGCGCTCCCAGAGTCCAACTTTACAAGAGAAGCTAAAAATCTGGACTCCTCAATGCATATTTTATGTGAAATTTTTTAAAACATGTGGACCAAAACCTCATCCACAAGCCAAATCTGGCATCCCGTCTGCTATGCTGAATGGAACATTTGCTTGGATATACCTGTCTGAGGGTATATTCTAGGGAGAGGGCAGTCAAATCATTTAGGGCACTTTTTCAAAAGACCACCCTCACGGTGAGACCTACAGGGCTTTGGGCCCTGTGGAGGATAAGTTCACTACACCTCAAAAAAGAGTGACACGCAGGACCCCAAATAAGACTTTCCTCCCTATGTCAGGGGGCGGCCTCAGCTTCACAAGGGCAGTCAGGTGTCAACAACAAGCCCAACAGGATGAATGATATTGACAGCTCTCATCTGAGGTGAAGGAAGGGACTAAAAGTCCTGCCAAGAGGAGCAGGCCGCCCAGCAGAAGCCAGGGCTCCGCTGTTGAACTCAGGTGAGATCTGCCCTAGGGGGGCAACCACACACTTACTCTGCGGGCAGAGGGACAGGCTCGGCCAGAACTCTAGATTCCAACTCTGCAATCAGGTTCAGCTTCCACTTCCGACGCTGGACCTACAGTGACAGAGCCTAAGCCCAAGCAGATGGCAGCAGGGTCAAGGGCCCAGAGTTACCCCACCAGGTGCGGGTCTTTACCTGCCATGTCCCCAAGCCAAAAGCAGTCACGGGGATGAGGAGCAGGACCCACCGGAGAAAGGAGTCATCTTCCGCTTTTGTGGCAGATGCTTCTGCTGCAGAACTGCCACACCTGCTTGGCCTCCAGGCCACCTCTGGAGAAAGTTTCACAACACTGACCTGGAGGCAGAAGCCCTTGAACAGAGACCTGGGGCAGCCCGTTCCAAAAATGACTCCAGTACTGCCTGACAGAATGTGGCACAGGAGGGAACAAAACCTGCTGCCTGGAGCCTACCAGCAGCCCTTGTTTCCAGCCCAGCCTAGCCCAACCCAGTGCCCGGGACATAGCACACACTGAGTATGCTTGCCGACTGAGTGAGATCTAGGGCTCATTGTTGGCTTGACCAACTACGACCCTGGGTAACTCACGCCTTTTTACTCAAAAATATGCTAAGACGTATTCCACTGGACTAAGATGCACCATTCATCCACTCAAAATGCATTCGATAAGCGGCCAGTTACTAAGTCGCTCAGCCAGGCGCTCGTGGTTGTGTTATGCAGAGAAACATATCGACTCAAGAGTAATGGTTCACAAAGCACTTAACAGCGTTCAGTTTTTACAACTAACCGTGACGACACGGAAAAATGTACACAGAAGGTGGCTTTAAGCTCTCAGAGGGCGAGTCCCATCGGCTGAAAAGCACCACGGGGGCCTTGCGGATACTGAAAAAAAGCAAAAAAGCAGTAATAAAAAGGCAGGCCTGAAGCAGGCTTGCACAGCACCCTATACACATGGCAAATTACCCTGTGCTGCAGAGAGAGACAACACGTAAGCCATGGTGGTTCGATGCCCTTTACTTTCAAAGCCCTGAGCTTTCAGCCTGGGCTGGCCACCCATTAGCTGGAAGGGACGTTAGGAAGTAACTCTCGAGCCTTCTCTGTAACACAGGAACGACAAAGGAGCTACCCCTCGCGTTGTTGTGAGGACAAAGCGCTTGCTACATGCCCGGTACACGACCGCGGTTCCACTAAAAGCATTTTAATATGGAACTTGTCACTCCCAGGGAACCTCAGTTCTGCCGGCAGTGGGTTCATTTCAATCCCCACGAAACCCCTTCAAAGTGCAGGGCAGAGAGCAGGTGGCTCTACCGAGGCGCCTGGATCACGGCCCGGCCTGCGGCCCTCACCTGGGCGTTGGGAGACCCCAAGGACGCTCCTCCAGGCGGCGCTGGCCGGGGCCTGCGGACACGGACGGGCGGGATGAGCTCTGGGTCCCTACCCCGCGCCCCGCGCCGCCCTCTCGTCCCCTGCGCCCCGCGCTCACCCGTTCCAGCCCCGCCGCCCGCAGCCCCGCCGCCCGCAGCCCCAGCTGCAGAGCAGCCACCGCCGCCATGGCATCCAGCCCCGCGGGCACTTCCGGGACGCAGGAGGCATCTGCTTCCGGGGCGCCGCCGAGTCCCGCCCAGAGCCCCGCCCCCGGCTCCACGTGGTGCGAGCGGCGTCCCTGGGGTTGCTCCGCGGGCTGCCAGGCCATGAGCGAGCTGCCCGCCGACGTGCGGGCTTTCCTGCGCGAGCACCCGAGCCTGCGGCTGCAGCCGGACGCCCGCAAGGTTCGCGACGCAGGAGGAGAACGGAGTAGGGGAGAAGGGCGCAGTTAGGACCAGGGGCTGAGCGGAGGGCAGGGGAGAGAGGAAGCCAGAGGACAGGGGAGGGGAGGAGGGGGGCGCGGCTGGAGGGGCACCGGGGAGCGGGCATGGCGGGAACCTGGGTCCTCCCGACCGACCGCCGCCCCCGCAGGTGAGGTGCATCCTGACGGGTCACGAGCTGCCCTGCCGCCTGCCGGAGCTCCAGGTCTACACCCGCGGCAAGAAGTACCAGCGGCTGGTCCGCGCCTCCCCGGCCTTCGACTATGCAGAGTTTGAACCGCACATCGTGCCCAGCACCAAGAACCCGTAGGTGGTCCCCGGCGGCGGGGAGGCCAGGGCAGTTGGGACAGCCCCTCCGCTGGTGCCCCCGGTGCCTGAGTCTTCTCTAAGGGAGCCTCTGGGAGGGCTCGGCTCAGGATAGGTCCTGGGCGGTAAACTCCAAAGTTCCCTCCTTCTGAGGACTCCGCCAGTGCTGCAGCCCCCACTCTCGCAGAGCTGGGAGCCTTGGGATCCAGGTGGGCACCCGGATGCTGGAGTCACCTGCGATCCCCGTGAGGCCCCTCCGTGAGCTCGTTTGCTTTTCGGTAAACGTGAGGTTTGTCCTGTGGGGTGTGGCTGCTTCACAGAAGAGTAGGGGCTTGTGCTTTGTCTCCTGAGGTTGTGCACAGCGTTGGCTTCTCCTCTTGACCCCAGACGGGATCTTTGATTTAGCTGGGAGCTAGGGTGGGCAGTAATCGTCAAAACGGATGGGATGTTCCCATTCATTGAGCACTTGGCCAGGCGGAGCCTTCCTCTTGCATGAACTCATCCTGGAGCAGTCAATGAGGCTGCCGTGCCTACTTTTCCAGTAAACGTTAAGAGGCCACAGTCGGCCTGGGTCGGCAGTTCCCTGCCCAGCTTCAGAGTGGAATTGCTCGGAGAGCCTTTAAAAAAGCCCAATATTCAGGTCGCATGGTGGATCATCCCCGGTGCACCATCCCGGGTAGACCGTCCAGGGATGAGTCCAAGACGCAGCCACCAGTGTGGATCTTTGCTGTGAACTGTCCATGCAAACTGGGTCTCTCTGCTCTGTAGGCACCAGTTGTTCTGCAAACTCACCCTGCGGCACATCAACAGGTGCCCAGAACACGTGCTGAGGCACATCCAGGGCCGGCGGTACCAGCGAGCTCTGTGTAAATGTAAGTCTGGGTGAGCCCCCATCAGAGGGCATCGCCGTTTGGGTGTATGCCCGCCCTGCCCCCGATGGAGCGTGCTTGAAGGCAGGTCATCCTTCAGCGATCCGTGTTGATGTACCATGCCTGGTTCTGGCACAGTGAAGAGAGGGATGAGGGCCCCTGACCCCACAGCTTCTAGTGCAGGCAGGTGCAGGGCCAGAAGCAGCCTCCGGAGTGAGTGAGTGAGTGCACGTGGTGATGTGAGGTGTGGAAGAATCTGGGCGAGGGATGTGGGGTGGTCTTGTGGAGGCAGGAGAGCTGGGAGGTTCCCTGAGGGATTTACTGCAGGCTGAGGCTGGAGGGATGTGGTGGCAGTGGGACTGGGGGGGAATAGCACCCCAGGTAGAGGCCAGGGTTCATGGAGGTCTGAGACAAAAATGTGTTGTCTGAGGTGGGTTCACAGGCCAGGCTAGTGTGCACAGCAGGGCCGGCCCAGAGGCCAGGCGAGGATCCCTGCAGTGCGTGTGTGGAGAGGGATGGGGCGGGGCCTGCATGGACAGTGCGCACGGTTGGAAAGGGTGGGCCCCTTGGCTGTGGTCATCCAGGAAAAGGTGGGTTTTGGGGGGAGAATTCAGAGTCCCTTTGAAGGTTTGAAGGTTGAGCTGTATTAGGAAAGATGTTTATTAGGGAAGGCATCGGGCTTTTCAAACAGGGACAGCTATGCTGGGTGAAGGAGATGCTTGCTCCGTGGCGCTGGGTAAGCACCCAGCGAGTTTAGAGAAGGGAGAGAGGACTGGTCCTGAGCCCCAGGAAAAGGATGGAAGTCCTTCCGTGTTCCTGAAGGGAAGATGAGGACAGAAAAATGATACATTTGCTGACATGGAGGCCCCTGGCAACTGTGGTGAGGCACTCAAAGCTTGGCAGGGACACCTGGCTAGAGTGGATCATAGACTACAGCCCACGAGGACAGTGCCCAGCCTCAGGCAGGTGCTGGGTCACCAGAAGGCCTTTCTGGGGTCCAGCTAAGGAGGGAAATGGACAGAGGCTGGAGTGGACAGATTCGGGTTGGTCTGCTTATGGGAAGATGAGTCCACCGGCTTCCATTTCCCGATGAGAGGTGGCCCAGCCCTCCGCAAGCATGAGCGTGGACTGAGAAGGCAGGACCAGGGTTTCTCGAGCGGAAAGCAGGCCCTCACAGAGGCCTTGCCGCCACAAGGGCTGCCAGCTTGGGGCTTGGATATTCTCCAGCCAGTGTTTTAGCTGCTCGCGGTGGGCAGGAAGGTTCTAAGTGCAGGGGGCCACAGGATCCCCATGAGAGTGGTTATGATGACAGACCGTGGAGCTGAGACGGGACTGGGTCGGTGCAGTCACTACAGGGCATGGTCCAGAGAAGTCCGAACGTGGCTGTGAGGGGCTCTGCCTGCAAGTTGTGATGGTAACAAGGCTGCTGTGTGGCCATGGGGGTGGGTGGCAGAGACAAGGAGGGAAAGAGCCCTGGAGATGGGCTGTGACATCAGCGGCTGGGGCCCAGCAGGGCTCCTGCAGTGCATGTGGGGTGATGGTGGGAGCTGCGCCGGACTGGAGGGCAAGCCCCAGCTGACCCTCTAATATATGAGGGGACAGTGGTGGACACTCGAGGTCCTTCCGTGGAAGGCTTGTCCCAACTCCTCTCTCACCCTCTAAGGGGCAGCAAAGGACAGGCAGCCAACCTCCACTGAGCCCCGCCCTCCGGGACAGTGCCTCCCATGCGCTGAGGGAGGACTTCGGGTTACTGGGGAGAGAGTGGCATCACTGCCAGCCCAAGCTGCCTTTGAGAAGCCATGCCAAACTGACTGGAGCAGGACTTGTCTTGGGCCTGCTCAGTGCCCTCCTAGCTATGGCTTCCCAGGCCTGGCTGGGTCCGGGATGAGTGGTCAAGGCCCAACAGACCTGCACCATCTTCTTACCTCCCAGTTGCAGCCCTGCCCCGCTACCCTCCCTGCATGCCTGGTAGGAACAGGGCCAAGGCACCCAGCAGCTGCTCTGGTTTTTGTCCAGGGCGGTAGGGCTGTGGGACCCTGGCTCAGTGCAGTCCCCACAGGTTAGCTGTGGCCAGCAGACCGTAGGGGGTGTGGAGGTACCCAGTGTATGCTGGCTTATCTCCCAGATGAAGAATGTCAGAAGCAAGGGCTGGAGTATGTCCCTGCATGCCTGGTGCACCGGAGGAGAAAGAGGGAGGACCGGCTGGACGGTGATGGGCCTTGCTCGTGGGAAGCCTTCTGGGAGCCCACGTCCAGTGATGAGGGGGGAGCTCCGAGTGACGACAGCATGACAGACCTGTACCCACGTAAGCGAACAGCCCCTGACTTGCCCTGACCCTCTCCTGTCAGAGGGAGCAGGGTGTGTTGCTGGCTTCCCTGCACAGAACGTTCTTGGTGAACTCAGCCTAAAATAACCATCAGCCAATCCCTGTGTTCCTTCCAGCCGAGCTATTCACCAGAAAGGACCTTGGAAACACAGAGGACATAGATGGCACTGATGACTTTTTGACAGATGAAGAGGACAAGGAGGCAAAGCCCCCAAGAGAGTCCACTGATGAAGGCAGGAGGGAGATGGACGTGGACTGGGGGCTGGTCCGGAAGCGCAGGAAGGTGAGCTGTCACCTCTACCCTGTCAGTGTGGCAGTGGCTTCCTCTAGTGATGGTTTTTCATTTCTTTAAAAAAAAAAAATTGAGGCCAGGTATGGTGGCCCAAGCCTATAATCCCAGCACCTGGGAGGCTGAGGCGGGTGGATCACTTCATCTCAGGAGTTTGAGACCAGCCTGGCCAATGTGGTGAAACCCTCTCTACCAAAAATACAAAAATTAGCCAGGCCTGGTGGCAGGTGCCTATAATCCCAGCTACTTGGGAGGCTGAGGCAGGAAAATTGCTTGAACCCAGGAGGCGGAGGTTGCAGTGAGCTAAGATCATGCCACTGCACTCCAGCCTGGGCGACAGCAAGACTGTCTCAAAAAAAAAAAGAGAATCTTTTTCACAAGTGAAATTCCAAGCTAACAACACATGAAACATGGAAGCCGAGGCTGTTAGCTGGCAGGTTGTGAGTGCTACCACTGGCGCTGTGGACCACAGTCAAGACCAAGGGTTTGTGAGGATACCCTCCCCCCTCAGACTGTGAGCTGTGGTTTGTCCTTTCCCCTGTGGCACAGGGACCTGATGACTAGCCACCACCTTTGCCATCGGGGCAGGAGTGGAGACTTCCTCGCGTTTGGTAGATAAGCAGGACCCGGGCTAGAAGGGGTCAAGGTCCTAATGCGTGTGTGGCACTGCAGTGTGCTCCTCCAAGGCCCTGCTGATCCTGGCTAATCCTGCAGCTGTTAAGGAAGTGAGGTGCAGGGGCATGGAGGAAGCCTCCGTGGGTATCTCAGACCAACACCTCCGAGGCTGTGCTGGTAGGGATAGCCCTGTACTCTCAGGGCCCCTTCTCCATGGGATCAGAAAGGCTCCATCATCAGAATTCTGTTTATCCCACAGAAGCAGTTGGGCTCGTTGAAAAAGAAGTTCAAAAGTCATCCCCGCAAACCTAAGAGCTTCAGCTCCTGTAAACAGCCAGGTTAATAAAAGCACATGCTGAGAAGTTTCGAGAAAGCCTTCAGCTATTTTCCCCCACTCCTCATCAAGCCACGTGTCCTCTGAATGATCAGCTGTCCCCGGTGTCTACCTTGTCTCATGGCACTTGTGCCCTCTAAGGCAGGGCTGAGGGGGTGTGTCCCCCATACCCAGGAGGCAGCAGGGCCTCTGAGGGACAGATTCTCTCTGGACATGGCTTCTGAG